GAAGACAGAAACAAAAGTTGGAGAAACAGACATGTAATTCTGAAGAAAAGCAAATAGAAACTCTCTGAAGGTTCTCAAGTTTATTTAGTTTGTCTTGGATCATATATGATAAGCCTTGTGCACAATGGTACACTTTGTCCACAACTGTTGCATAATCTTCCCAGAAGAGCATATTGAGCTGCTGGGTTTTACAGATTTTACTGGAATACAAAAAAAAAATCAATGGAGGAAAAACAACAAAACTCTAATATGTCAGTCTTTCAGCATGAGTCTAAAAATAGATTGGACACATGTCAGACAGAATAGGTACACATCAGACTTTTACTCACCTACTCAGTGCATTATACACTACATTCACATCCATTTCCTGCCCATAATGCAGGTTATTCAGTCACCACAAACTAGCTATTATGATGTCACCTATGGCTGGTCTCCCAAGAAAGAAAAAAAAAACTTTCAGTCATCTAACACATACTCAGATGTCAGCTTATAAAACCTCTAAATTCCTCCTGTCGCTCATCACTCATTCACTGTCTTAAACCATCCCTTCTTTTTCTGCAAACAACAGGAAGGACAGATTTAGGCCACTCTGGAGGGTTTAAATCTTTTTACTGCGCTGTTAGGTCGGCGGTTAAGCCATGAGACAACTTCCCTAGAATTTTGTGGGTGTTATCAGTGTTGAGAGCTTGATCTGCAAAAAGGAACAAATGGCAAACCAGAACACAGTTTATGAGAATTAGACTGAGCTTCTTTTTATTTCAAAGTGGAGTCAAAGCGAAGAAAAAATAAATAAATAAAAAAAATGCGGTGGAGGAATGGCATAGCGTACTTGTGTAACCTCTGGCTTGGATTCAGACGTTTGACTGGGACAGCACATCAAGGAGGAGCAACAGACAGAGCCTCTCTGTGCCTGTCTGAGACAAAACCACAGGATTCGTAACATGAGGGAGAAAAAGCGAGCGATGGCGATCACGCAACACTGCAAAGAAAACTTCTAGGTGTTTTGATGCAGCTCATCAGTGAAACGAGACAGGGTGCCCGTGATTTATGAAAAGCTGGGAGATTCTGGAAAGTGGACAGTATGAGCTATAAAATTTCCCAATGCAGTTTTCTTACTCTGGACCCACTGTTAAATGAGTATGTAGTTTTATAACAGTGAAAAAAATGCTGATGGCACAAATCCTGTTTACAGATAAACATTCAAAACTGAGATTCTATGTTCTTTTACATGAGTAAATAAAAGCTTATTTATTATCATGCTGGAATTTATAACAAGGTAAATAACTCAAGTCTATGGCTTTTTCTAATAAACCATTTTGTAATCAAGTGCTCTAATGATTTACTGAGTATGTGCTAAATATAAACGTGCTACACCAGCAACTCCCAACATTGTTTTTTGGATGCCCCCTTACTTGGAACTACAATAAAAATTGCTCCGCCCCCGATTTTTCTCACTCCTTTGCACATTTTACCTGCACATCACAAAACATCTATTCAGTCCATTACTACTATTATTATTTTTTTAGAAAGCCAAACTTCAACATTTTCAGCTACCTTTTTGTTTTCAGGGCATATTAAAGGAGACATATCATGCTTTTTAATTCTTCTTTTTCATATCTAAATCATTCAGCTGGGGTCTATTTAAAGTGGAACTGCAATGCTTTGGTCTGAATTCCTCCTTATTGTAACTCCACAATGTCCTTATTTTAGCCCCTTTTCTGAGGTGTGTCTCAGATCAACTCATTTTAAGGCTGTCTCTTTAAATCCAAATTGCCCCACATCGTGCCCTATTTTTATAGTTTGACAGTAGAGGTATAATGGTCCATCCAGCCTTATTCGTTGGAGCCAGAGTCTGACCCAGAGTCACAGGAGAATAAAGACATGGGATCTGCTGAATCATGGAAATTGGTGGGCCGGAAGTCTATGACCTTGTTTAGTAGTTCCACAGCAAATACTATGGTCTTACTGTTCAAAAAACATAATAGGGAATATAGAAAACTGAATGACTTGAAAAATATGAATTAAACAGAATATAAAGATATTTACACAGCACCAGGAGAGACTAAATTAAACTTTTCTGCACTCCTAGAGATTCTAAGTACACAATAAAATGTATTTGAGGGCTAAAAAGTGGATTTAGCATATTTCCTTTTTAAAAATCTACTTTTTTTCTCGCCAAAAATTGTTTGCATGTGAATCAGAGGTACAAAAGCAGCAAAAAGCAAAACAATCTTTGTTTTAAAAGATATCTAGAGTAGTCCGGACAGGATCTTAGAAAAAAAAGAAACCTTTTTACAACACTTTGCTCCAGCATGTGCATGATGATACTCCATCTGTTTGTTGGTTTGTTTATAAAGACCTGTTGTTTACTGCAGGAATGTAGTTCCAATCAGAAACACATCAGCATTCTGTTTGTGCAAAGCTGTTAATAATGTTGCACTATTGTGGCGAGCTAATTTGGTTTTTACTGAGGAGTATTTTAGCTTTGTTTTCCTGTTTAAAATAGGCCCAAACCTTTAACAGGTTTGGTCTACTCTCTGATTTTCTCCTTGTTTTTCATTTCTTATGGTGAAAAAGCTCTAAATTACTTAACTCCCCTTTAATTAGTTAACTTAACATTTTAACTTTAATTATCTCTCACAAGACCAAACTGTGGGTAAAGCCGACTCAACCCAAAACCTTTTTTTTCTCTAATTGTAATATCCTAACAGCTCTCCACATTTAAAGTTTGTTTTGCCACTAACTCCAACAACAACACAGCTGGACTCCGATAATCCAAACTTTTCTCCTTAGGTGGGATTTACTGGCTCTTATGCTCCACGTTTCTCAACACAAGTGATTCAAAGAAATGTTTCAATTAGCTTATGTCTTAATATAAACAGGGACTGATGATGTTTAAATGAGAGTCAACAGTTCTTGAGGTGGGTAAACCTGAAAGCTAACGAGGAAACACAAAATTTTTTTACTGTTGTGAAACACTTAAACATTTATATTGTTTGACTCAGAACAGGATGAAGGATGTTTCAGCATTTTAGTAACAATGTTCTAACAAATTATTGGACTAAAAATATATTAACCATTCAGGTAGTGTGGACATGCATGGGCCAGTGTAAACAGGAAGCAGAGGGCTGGGTGCTTAGCTGTGAATCAGTGTGAGTCTGTGTGCGTCATTGTTTTCTAACGTCTGTATCCTTGAGTCTGCAACTCGACAGTGGTTTTCAGTAAATTCATTTTTTTGTTTGCATTTAATCTAGACAAAAAATTAAAAAAGAGCTTGTGTATGTGAGTAAGGCCACGTGGTTTGAAACTACAAATGACTGATTCTGATCAGCAGGCAGCAGAGGTGTGGAACAAACCTACTGAAAATTATATCCGGATTTTGCCTTTTTAATATTTAATTTATTTTAATCGGCACGACTATGACTCATGCACACCTTCAAAACTTGTGAAGATTGTTAAATGGCAACACCCTAACAATTCGTGTGTGGACAAAGAAAGGCAGGAAGAAAGATGATTCAGAAAACAGAGGAAGTAGGAAAACAAGAAAAATATGCACCAGCAACTCAAAGTGCAGATTTGGATTGTGTGTTCGGTTATTGTCGCTCGCAGCTGAGGGTCAAAAGACGATACTGTTTTTGCCTGTGTATATTTTTCTGTACGATTTGCAATATATCTAAAAAAAAAACACATAAAGATTTGAATGGAATTCTCGGAGTAATCATTAAATGCACATCAAATTAACTTTTGACCTCACCAACATTCTAGCTGTGGTGGTCATCTAGTTTATCTTAGCTAAAACACAAAATGGCTATAACTCAGCTAATTTAGCAGATTGTGGCAGTAGCTGATGGTCATCTTCATGATATACTCTGCATTTCCTCAAGGAATAATCAACCTTTATTTTGCTAACAGTGACTCTCCTTAAAGGGGAGTATGATGTATTTTCCAGGCACATACTGTAGTTCAACTCTGTACCACAATCAAGTAACTATGTTACTTTTAGTTATCATGAAAATACTGTTTAGAACAAAAATACATTTGGTGTGGCATCACAGCCTATCCAAACACCTTGAAATTTCAACACTCCCCCTTCAGCACGTCTTTACAACAATACTTTGTGGGGAGAGTACTTATGGGATAAGTCTTGTACCAGCAGGAATTGAATTTGAATTGTTCAGATTGATTCTGTATGTGCATAATTTGAAATTGAATGCATTGGTTTGAAAATAAATTTAACTAAATTGTTACATACAGAAGGGAAACTTCACCAAAGTGAAACATAAATCTGTGGATCTGTGTTTGATTACTCTGGCTGACTTTCTCAAAGACCAGGATGTGTGACACAAAAATCTGATTTTTGGAATTGAAATTGAATTATGGAAATGAAAGTGAAAATAGTCAAACTGAATTTTTAATAAACCAAAATACAGTTTCAAAGCAAATTCATTCAGATACAAAAATTTAAATTCAGTTTCAAATCATTAAATTTGGTTTCAATTTAGTGAAATTCATTTTTAAACCAATACATTCCATTTCATATTTTGCACATTCAGATTCAATCTGAGCAATTCAAATTCAATTCCTGCTGGCACAAGATTTATCCCACAGTAAGAGAGGTCCTCTGTGGGGCAGGAGCTCGGCTGCAGACTGAGCTCCAGGGCGGAGCTCTGCGTTAATAGGCGGTGCTTTGTACCAGGAAGTGTTCAGGCAGCTCCGCATGGCTACCACCGGAGATTCAAGGATTTCTCAAACATGCATGAATGAGTCATGTTTTTGATTTTGGAAAAAGTCGATTTTGCATAATACCCCATTTAAACAGCTATAAACATAGATAGTTTGTGAGTTTGAACACTTGACCCGTTTCCTCAGGGTGAGCAAATATTTGTTAAATGTCAGGATAATGTGAGTCATCTGACCAGAGATCAGTAATGGAAATAAAGCTCTGATCAGGTTTTGTGAGCGTGTCTCAGTGTGTGAATATGAGTGTGTGCTTTACTCACATGTAACACTCCCTTTGGGCGTTGGAAGTACTGAATGTGAGAGGCTGGCTTTGTGATTGCAAGTGACTCCATCATGATCATCATCTAACAACCGTTTGGGGGTGCCGTTGACCCGCAATATTAGGGGCTCAGTGTAGGTGTAGGCCACATCTGCAAAACAAACAGACATATAGTTGAGAAATATTCAAATCTACTTTATAAACACAGTAGGTGAGCATACTGCTTTAGCTTCATACTTTTCTTACATTATATCAGAAATCAGGAGATTTAGTTCCATACTTATTGAGATGTTAACTTCTCATCTACTAACAATTAATTAGGAGTTTTGCTGACTTCAACAAAGCCAGATTTTTTTGTCTCTGTGTTGGTGTGTGCTCCGTGCTAAACCTTCCATCTGGAAGCAGTTAAATCCAACCCCTCATGGCTGTTTAGGGGTCTATGTGAACGCTTGTGAAACCTGAAATCTGCGTTGCTCCGTGTTGTGTGCACGTGCACGAGGAGATGTCTCTTTAAGACGAATACCTAAGAAGATACGCATGATAAAGTCAGTTTCTATAACTAAAACTGTGTGTTTTATGTGCTCAAAGACATCATGCAGTCCACTAATGAAGCTGTTTTTGTTTTGTTCAAAACACACACATATCTATTTACATATATATATAAATGCACACACAGGGACAACACAGAGGCCTTCAAAGCAAACAGGCGCAGGCCTCTGAGAGGTGCAGACTCATTCCTGGCCAAATGGGAGCCAGCTGGGTTTGATAAACACACACACACACACACACACACACACACACACACACACACACACACACACACACACACACACACACCCGCAC